AGTGAGAGGAAAGCAGGCTGTTTGGTATGTTGCTGATGTGGAGTGTCACCTCTTGGCTGGGGGCTTGCAGTCCTCTGACCTATATTATCTACACTTTGCTTAACTATCAGCTGCCTAACAGGAAATGACAGGACAGTGTGGATGGGCAGCGTTCACAGAAGAGCAGGTCTCCTTTTTTTGAAAAGTAAAATACAAGTTAGTGAGTAGAAGACCCATGCAATGCTGCTGCTGGAATGATTAAACTGTGTTATGTCAAGGGCTTAAATTATGAGGTGATTCATTGATTTCACAGGAGATGACACCCAGCGATTTTAGTAATAGATGAATCATGTCATTTGTTAAGCTGAAATGTATGGCTACAACTATTAATCATTCCATTTTTTTTTAATCATCAACAAATATGTCACTGCTTAATTTCTCCCTCTTATCCTTACAATAACACAATTCAAGGTTTTAAGTCTTTATTCAAGACTTTTAAAATTATGTTTTTTTCCAACCAACAGTCCAAATATATACTCAAATATATTGGGTTTGATATTACATTGGACTCAGATAACTATAACATACTCACATAACCAGAGAACTATTGACACTTTTGATTATGTATAACATGATTTACATTTATATATCAAAAGTCTGAGATGTATTTCCTCCAATTGATCCATTCATTTATACAATTCCCATTTAATTAGATTTTGAATTAAATAACTTTGAGTTTTGGACTGTTTGTTGGACAATAAAAAGTCATATAAAGTATTACTGTTTGCATTGTTTTATGACTCGCTTTAGACTAATAGATGAATTGAATCAACACAATATACGATATTATAAAACAATATTTAGTTCCTAGTTGTCTTTGTCTACTGGTTGTTTAAAATTCGTGCTTTGTTTGAAGATTGATGTCTTGTAGTTGCAAAACAGGCTGACGCAATTCTGTTTCTCAATAACTGCTTCTCAGAAACACCCTCAGAATTTCTTCCGTATTTGCCTTAAAATGTCTCAATCATATATCATGACTAATACAAACTGCACACTTCCTGGCTCTACATGCTGCATCAATTGAAGTTGGCTTGTAAAGCAGAAAGAAGTAAAAGCTCATTTATGAAGCCTTGTTGGCCTGCGTTTATAGACTGATTATATGCTGGACTTTGTTGACAGCCGCTGAATTGCTCTCACCTGTTGTGTTTTGCTCTCCAGCCCAACAAGTCCCCAACAGGATGTGTTGACACTCTCATAAGGCAGCATGTCATGCAGCTGATTGATATGGAGGGAATGGCTGTGTTTTTACGCTTTGCTGTTGCTGTGTGTATTCTCTGGTGTGCTATTGAATTACTTGCTGTTTGCCTCAGCAGCAGAACATTCAATACGTTATTTTTATTTCAACTGATGCATTTCATGGGTATTTTTTCTCTATGTGCTGTCAATAGATCGCATCAAAGTACAGTAGCTAATTCTGTAGAGATACAATGTGCTTTTTGGCTGCAGGCTGAGTGCTATTTACTGTTGCTCTATATTATACAAATGGCCCGCTTTTCTGAAGGCAAAAACAGCAGTCAGTTTTTCACTGCACGGAAAGCCGGTTACAACCACCCGCCACCACTTGACAGCTGAAGACAGCTCATTATAAGAAGACCGAAAACCCATGTTTGATGTTTCTACTTAGTGAGGGAGGCACAGCTATATCAAGCTATCCCTTGCAGGCTTTTCCTTTATAAGGAAATGCTTTCTCCAACTGGTTGGGATTTGATGTGCCTCTAGTTGCAGATGTTATGAGAACTGAATATGGGTAATTGTATAGACAGAGCACTCAGAAAGAATCTGAACCGCTGAAAAGTCACATGTTTGTTTTTAGAGTATGTCGACAAAAAATAACACGAACACCTTGAAATAATCCATTAAAACACGGTAAATTCAGCTTAAAATGCCAAAACAACCACGAAACTTGACATTTTAAGCTTGACACGGGAAGGATTTATTTATTCAATCATATACATGTAGCTTTTATTGTGATGCCCTCTACATTCACACATACTGTGCGTAAATATGTCAATACAGTAAATTAAAGTTAATTTATTGACGGTATATGTTCAGGCTCGTTGAAGGGGAATGCATACTGTCAAACAAATGCCTGTTAAATTGGAGGTAAGCATGGTGAACATCAGAGACATGTCCGTGTTTGTGCCTGTACACATCTGTGCTCCAGATTTCTCTGTTTCTTTAATAGCCATCTTCCAGCATGCCACTCCACTCTGTCGGTAACAAGCACTTCAGCCATTAGCCCTTCAAATGGAAACACATTTAAGCATCTCCGCTTCTTTGCGTCACTATTGGACTTCGAGTATGAGAGTTATTAAAATCAACCTTTAGAAAAAAAGGTTGAAGCACATACTTAGAGCTAATCTTATTAAGAGAGCCAACTGAACAGAATAAAGCATCAAACCCACCGCCGTTATATTCAGCTTACCTCCGTGTCAGACATCACTGCTGAATATATATTTTTAGTTTCCTGAGTGTCACATTAGTTTTATTGTGTGTCACAGAGACCACTGGCTCACAGCTTTCCCCTGTTCAATCATTGCACTCTGCCTGTAACAAATTACATGTCCTCTACTCCTCCACACTTTGAAGGTGTAATCACAGCCGTTGAGTGTGACTTGTGATTTAAAAGCATAAAAATATCAACGTTCACGGTGAATATCGGGAGCCTGACTTCCTAAATGCTAATCAAAAAGTCTAAAAACATCTCCGACGTCCCCATTGACTTTGATTTAACTGCTGGAATAAATTCAATTCAGCAATCATCCATATTCATGCTGCCGTAATTTAGTTTACATTAATGTGTGTCCACAGCCGTAATGCTCCTTGACGCACATACCAATTTGGTTGATAAATAAGGACGTCCTGTTGTTCGTACTGGATTCTGATTCTGATTATAATCTTTACCTTTATTTAAATCTCATTTTTGTTTACTTTGTTTATGTTCATTTAATTCTGCCAGACATTACCTGCCAGAGGTTGAAGGTAACTAAGAACATTGAGTCAAGTACATTTAAAGTACTTGAATATTTTCATTACTCCTATTCCACTGCATATCAGAGGGAAATCATATTTTTCTACTCCACTACAATATTGGCACTTACAGTAGTTTGGTGATTAAGGCTTTACATTATTTAAAACGTATGATAATGTGACATGATGCAGTACTATACTATTAATCTACTATTAGATTCAGTATGATATGCAGTAAAGTGACAGGTTCTGCATGTGTCAAAAGATGATGCATAAAAAGTACTTTCACTTTTCATATTTTAAGCATATTTTGATGACTTTTGTACTTTTAAGTGAGTACTTTGTTGAAAATTTGAATTTTTTCAATTTTTATTCTTTGGTATTTCTGCTTCTAGTTAAAGGGGACCTATCATGAAAAATGCACTTTTTGATGTCTTTTATACGTAAAGATGTGTCCCCAGCGTGTCAGGGAACTCACGCAGCGTCAGAAAATAAAACCCTCTCTCTTTTCCTCCGTACCCAAATCTCTAAAAACGGGGCTACAACGGAGCTGATCCAGATTTGCGTCCGATATGACGTAATATCTGAAATGTGGACCCACGGCCCTATCAGAAACGTTGCCATCAGAAACAATGCCCGACTGTTTTGGACGTAATATGGTCGGTGTTTACATTAGCATCGCTAACACTCAGAGCTAACCTGTACTGGAGAGCATGTGTGTGAAGAAGCAGGAAATAAAAAGGAACTCACCTTGTGGTATAACCGGCAAGAGAGAAAGCCTTTGAGCTCCATACTGTTTCAGAGATAATCCTTGATAATCCATGATATGGCGTTTCATCACGGCAGTATTTAGTTTAGACAGTAGCTGCCGAGTCCCGCATGAGCTCAACCCCCTCCTTTTTTATTTTTTTATCAATTTTTTACTTTTTAAAGCTTTATACCCAGAATCAGCACTTTAGAAACAGGAAGTGAAATAGAGGGATATGAGGCATGGCTAGAATGGGTGATCTGTTTGGTATTCGGACCAAAAACACTTCATAGACATGTTTTTTATATA